CGTCATTGTCAATTGCGTGGTATATAAATTCAATTATGGTCGTGAGCACGTCAGCGGTGACCAGACAAAGCGGAAACCATATTGCTTGTATGAGAGCTGATTACGGGATGTAAATTCTTAAACATTTCGGCGTTGATTAAAGCCAGGAAGACTTTGCTGAACAGTGGTAGGAGACTTAGCGGACGGTAGAAAGATGGGTCATCAGAGTCCTTGAAGTCAGGGACAACAGATGAGGACTTCCAACAGTGTGGAAAGAAAGCGTAACTGATGCAATAGTTATAAAGTTTCGAGGGGACTGGTGTCAGTTCCGTTCTTTTTATTTAAGGTTTTAATGACTTTAGACAGTGTACTTAACGTTCTATAAATGTTCTTTTTATTTATACTTCATACAAATCTCCCCGGAAAAATGTTCTTCGGGGAAATACCAAATTTTACTTAATTATTTAAAAAAAATAATCTCAAACAATACCATGTAAATTTCGATCAAATTGTATCTTGTTAATTTGACAATAGTTTTAGCTCATCCTACTCCAAGTCACGTGGGTCGTTTTGGCAATTTCCCAAGTTCAGCTTGCATGAGAAAATAAACTTACACTTCTTCTCTTTTCTGCTAAGGTTAATGTTGATAAAACTCAAATTAAAAAAAAAATTATTAATAGCTATTCTGTTATATCTTTATTTCCCAATTAAAATTTTATGTACACCCCAGAAAAATATATAATAACATTTTACACCATAAATGAAATGAGTATAAAGGATTCTGGAAAAATAGATATTTTATATTTAAAACGCACCAGATATATTTCTTCCATATGATGACCACGTAGTATAGCTGTTACCGTCAAGAAAATTAGGTTTAGATTAGTGACTTAATATTGCCAGCGATTACATTGAATTCGCTTTCGCACATATGCATTTGTGAATTAATCTTCCCGTGAAATAACTTACTAGAAAGGCAAACACATCTCTTTAGATTTATCGGTCAAACAGCATTAGAAAAAAATAAAATTTAACTTTCAAAACTTTTTTCTGAAGTGGTGGGGTTGACTAGAAAATCGAGCTAGTGAAAAAACTACAGACTAAGTACAGCATATCATGATTTAATCTTATTCGATTGAAAAATCTGGACATATATTTATTTTAATCCTCTCGAATTTACTGAATGACTTTTTAATGTTGTTATTCAATTCATTAAGGGAGGCGCCGTAGTTTTTTTTTTATTTCACAACTCAATTTAATTAACCTTTTTTTCGTAGCAATTCACCTCTGAAGATGAATAGGAGGAAACTAAATGTACTTGGAAGAATGAAAGAAATGAAAAAAAAAAAATCTATGGCGCCTGTCTTAATGGATTTTATATGAACATTAAAAGATGATGAAAAATAGACATAATAAGTTCAGATTATATATATATATATATATATATAAAGAAATATAGTCTTAAGGTTTGCCATATTTATGGAATAAAGTGCTCAATATCAGAGATAGAGCGTGTGTAAATATAAAAGGGAACATAGAAGTCAACAGAAAACAGTCTGTTTCATGCTATATGCAATCGTCAGGCCACAGTGGCCTGACGATTGCATATAGCATGAAACAGACTGTCGCCTCTAAGTGTTGACTTCTATTTATATATATATATATATATATATATATATATATATATATATATATTTGTACCTATGTATGGTATGTTGTGTGTCACGATTGGTGTCACACATAACCATAGGAAAACAGAATGAGGGAAGGACAAAGAACACACTTTAAAGGAAAAACTTTAAAATATTCTTTAATAATAATCATTTTGGATTATAATAAAAATAGATGATGTTCCAATCAAATATTTTATTAAGCCCAGACAATGCTGAGCGCCCGGTTGGGAAACAGAAACAGACTACGTGTAATAGAACAAAGTGCAATAAGGAACAAAAGTGAGTGCGACACAGAGAGGGATAGGAGACCGGTTACTTTTGATAAAGCTATCGAATCGTAGTAAAAGGATAAGTCATGATTCGTGACCTCACGATATGTGTAGGAATTTACAATGTTTTTTTTTTCTTTCTTTTTTTTTCTGATACCTATCTGGTAAGGGCTTTGGGTTTAAATGTAAGCGGTGCAGCTGTTAGTGAATGCGGATCCTGGGCCAGAAAAATGAGAACAGCCTCTCTTAGAATCGATGCTGTTCCACTCATATAATAAAACGAATAAGTGAAAGAATGGATCTTTTCTTGATAAGTACTGAGACATCAGACGCGTGTTTTGACGAGCCGTAGTAATAGTAGACATAGGCACCGTCCGAGGGCAAGAATAAACAATCCTCACTAATGGAGACGAATGATAATTTCAGCGACTCCGATTCAGACAACCTTTCACTATCGTAGTATTTAAAGGGTGTGGTGGATTAAATGTCGTCTTAATGACGCAAAATTGAAAATTCATTGAGATCTCATTTTAACAGGTATATTTACAAAATTACACAAAAATATCTTGAAATAATAAAGATTAACAGTGTTCAATAAAGTAGCCATTGGCTGCCAGGCCTCCAGACATTTTACGAATCTCCTTTAACACTTTTGGACGGTTTCCTTGTTGTAAATGGAGAATGCTACCACAATCCTTGCCTTCAGTTTATCTTTGGGTTTAAAATGAGTTTCGTTGGTTTCCCGTTTAATTGCACCCCACACATAATAACCAAGAAGGTTGCAGTTTGGGGAGGTAAATAGCCGGATGTAAGGGATGGTGAGGTCGTAGAAACTGCTTGATAGTTATATTTGATATATATATATATATATATATATATATATATATATATATATATATATATATATATATATACGCATTCATCCATTACGCACACACACGCATACACATAAATACATATGTGCGTTTTTTATACAATACATAAAAAAGCGATAGTCAACTTCTGCTGTTTTTAGCGAAACCTAAATTTTTATGAGCACGCGCTCGTCGGGCAGTCATCAGGAAATTTAATTCTGCAATATATATTAGTGGATTGCGTCTTTTTTTTTTTTTTTTTTGCTTGCAACCAAATTGACAATCAAAAATCGGCCCCCGTATTTGATTTTGAACTGCAATGCTTTTTTGTCCATTCATCAATCACTAGTCATTGTGACCTTTGCACCTCAGCAAGTTTGGTTTTCGCGCATAAACCAATAATCTTAGCATTTCTATTTAATGGTGTATTTCTTTGGAACTATCAGATCAAACTCTAGATAGAGGGCACAACGTGCGTTTTTTCTGTAATTCTTCAAATTAAATGTTATTTTAATACTTACCGAAATACTAAGTGGCCACTCCATCAAAATGGTTATTAAACAAAGATTACGGTTTGCTAAAAGAGGGTCTTATTTAAATAAAAAAATTAAGTACTCTATTAGAGTACTGAGTGTGTAAGTATAGTTTTGTCGAAGTACAGGAAGCGCGTGTTGGTAAGCTCCTCCGGATTTTTCCTCTTTATCGTCCTTTTTTTGGCTCTTTTTATTCTTCTTTACAATTTTAGAATTACTTTCCAAGAGTTTGTCATTACTTTCCGTTTCAGTGGTGATGATGAGGGTAATGTTAACCTTTTTCTTATAAAGACACATTTCACTTTCTTTGACTGGGTTGTTAGAATTAACGTCGACTGTTTTTTTTAATGTTTATCTTTCAGGAAAATATAATTATATCCAATAGCTATTACCGTTCTTTAAAGTAATGATGGAACTTTCCGTTCTAAACTGTTATTTGAAGTAGTGCCTAGCATCCACATGAAAGACTTCACCCTACCCTTTAATAACACGCCTTGAGCTTTCAGTTTTATATGTTTTTGTGTCGCAATTTGAGGTGATCGAAGTTACCACTAATATAGCCTATTCTATGTAAAATTCCCTTATCTGATCTACTAAATTTGTTGTAACTGATCTATACAGGAAACTTATTTGAAGTATTCAATAGTTAGTAATTCCACATATTGAAGTTTTATGATAGATTCAGTGCATGTGACATCACTGCTTTAATCCCAACTCCAGATCTTAGTTTTTGTTATAGACAGATATCCCTTGAGACGTATGACTCAGTACACGTGGTATAGAATATCGATTTTCTGTTCAAGATCCTTTTTATCCCAATAATGAATAACTATATCATCGGCATATCATTACTCCACTTCAGTCCATTGGAATCAGGAGAGAAAACAGAATCGTTGTCTCCTATTAGTGGATTCTGTGGAATATGGTATGGAATGCTTGAATGATCAGGTCCCAAATTGTCACATCCCACTATAAAGTGTATAAAATATTTAATATATTTGTTTTTCTAAAACTGTAAATTGACCTAGGTCTTTGCAGTCGCCTTTTAAACCTATATAATTAAAAACGGATGAATTTCTGGATTCTCCATTCGCCTGTGAATTATAGATTTGGTTACCAACAATTCTAGGTGGAAGGAAACTCTAAATCAGGTTATGTTTCCATTTGTATCGAGAAACTCTAGCCTATAAGAATCTATATGTAATGGAAACTACACAAGCGACACTTGATAAATGTGACACGATTGATGTGATAAAATGGGGATATATATATCGCTAGAATTCTACATTCTTTAGACCACACTCACACACACGTACATACATACATATGTGTGTGTGTTTGTGTTTGTGTATCTCTGTGTGCCTTTGCGCCTGTGTGCCTGTGTGTGTGGAGAGAGACAGAGAGAGAAAGAAAAAAGTAATTGATCGATTGTTTTCTTTTTTACGGCTTATGGACCATTTCATGGTTAACAAAATCTGAAAGACATGTGGGACAGTAAGAACAATTAGATTTATTGCAAGGATTTTTTGAGAATCACATTTCCTTTTCCAAAACAAAATGATCCTAGTATTGTGTCTTGGGTGAATAGACAGGTTCATAACTTTCCCAAATGTTCAGGCGCGTAAGTGAATGTAGCAAATTCAACATATTTCGAACTTGGCTCACCGATCTCTTATTAGAAACCGCTATCCATTATACCACATGATAGATACATACAAAGAAAGAAATATAGATATGAACAAAATTAGAAAGACAGAGAGATATGAACAGATATAGAGAGATGGATAGATAGATAAATAGATAGATAGATATGAACAGAATTACATAGATAGATAGATAGATAGATAGATAGATAGATATGGACAGAATGTCATAAATACATACATGCAAAGAAAGAAATATAGATATGAACAAAATTAGAAAGATAGCTAGATATGAACAGATTGAGAGATCGGTGGATAGATAGATAGATAGATAGATAGATAGATAGATAGATAGATAGATATGAACAGAATTACATAGATAGATAGATAGATAGATAGATAGATAGATAGATATGAACAGAATGTCATAAATACATACATACAAAGAAAGAAATATAGATATGAACAAAATTAGAAAGATAGATAGATACGAACAGATAGAGAGATAAATGGATAGATAGATAGATATGAACAGAATTACATAGATAGATAGATAGATAGATAGATAGATAGATAGATAGATAGATAGATAGATACTTTCATTCATTAATTCGTGGCACTATGTTTAATACATCTTGGGCTTGAATTAATAGCATGTGGGTTCTTAAGTTAAAATGAATAGACACTCTCCAGTGATTTTGAGTCATCGGCGTCCATATGCTATTGAATCAACTTATACCTTGTGCCCCCACCCAACTACATTCACAACGAAAGTGAACAAAGATTTGTTTGCAACCTGGGCAGAGATCTGAGTAAAAAGCTTTGAATAAAGATGCTTTTGAGGCTGATTCAAAGAACGAAACCCATATAAAAATTTACTAAGTTCGCTTCAAACTTCACAGGGTTTCCTTTGAAAGCGATCGACATTCTGGAATTCATACAAGAAGCAGAACAGCCCCGAAAAGGTCAGAAGCATAGAGGTTGTGTTCAAAGGAAATCAGGTAAAGATTGTGCAGGAATCTTCAAGGCGTGCTACGGGCGAGGAAAATTGTATGCATGGTGCGATGGATAAGTTTTCGTCGAAATTAATGCAAAAATGAAAATAACACTGACATCTAACTTTAACAAATATATTTACCAAAATTACACAGAAAATATATTGAAATATTACAAGGTAAATTCATTCAATAAAATCGCCATTGGCTTCAACCACGGCCTCTAAATTACTTTTTTTTAATCTCCTCCACAGCTCTTTTAAATTTCTGCTCGTTTAAGTTGATGAATGCTGACATAATCCTTGCCTTCAGTTCATCTGTGGTGTTACAAAAAGTTTTGTTGCTCGCTCGCTCAACAGCACCCCACAAATAATAGTCTGAAGACTGGGGAGTTATGTGGGGATATATTAAGGGGAAAGTAATCGCAGAAATTTTCTGACAGCCTATGAGGCATAGTTCAGTCTCTTGTTGCCAGTCATAGGGTAATTCAGCAGCCACCCTATTGGCCCAGAGCTGCTCTGCCTTCTGGAGGCACCGGACGTAGGCCTCTGTGTTGAGTTTGAGATACGGTGGGAAGATAAATGAGACAAAACTCTCTAGGAATCACTCCAAACAACTTTGTAATCACCATTAGACTCATTGAACTCCTTACTAATCCTCACCACTGTGCTCTGATTTAAACCCGAACGCTCTTTCTAAATATCTGGCAGAATCAACTGCGTTATGGTGGCCAATGAAGGCTACTGTATTGTCCAGTCGACAAAAAACAAACAACACGCATTCGCAAAATTAAAAGTGTAAATGTCGACAATGTAAGCAACTTACCCTGTATAAAAGTTACACAGGTTATATGCCATCAAGCACTATTTTAATAACACCAACATTCATTTTGTGATCTGATACATACATACATACATACATATTATATATATATATATATATATATATATATATATATATATATATATATATATACTAGCATTAGAGACCGGCGTTGCCTGGGGATGTTACAGTAATAGTTAGATCAAGTATCGACCATCATAAAGACTGAAAAATAAAATTGATAAAGATTATTGTTTAAGGTTGACAGACACGCATGTCTTAATTAGTTTTTTTTTTTACGAATTGGTCAAACTCAAACAAAAACATTGTTTTCAATCGTTATGAGTCTATCGATTGAATAGAATTTTATTATAAACAATTGTCTTTTAAATGGATTTTTAAAGCATTCTGAATGTAAAATAAAAAAAAAAATGTGCAAGACAATAAAAACACTACCTGCCAAAAAAAAAAGTGAAGTTTTTTTTTGAAATCGGTTGAAAAATTGTGTAAATCCGATCCCATATATATAAAACACAACACACACACACCAAACAACCTGGGTTTTATAAGTATAACTAGATATGAGTTGTCCCCCCTTTCATTCTGGCGAGTGATGCCTCTTAATCGTGTTTTCAAATTGATTTTGTGCGAAAACAATTGTGTTTTTCCAATTTTTGGCGATGTCAAAACCACCGCAAGGTAATTTTACGTAGTCCTGTGAAGTTTTGTTGAAATCAGTTGAAAAAAATGTAGGAAATCCAATCCAATATATAAACGTACAGACACACACACACAGACACACACACACACACAATCTGCGTTTTATAATAAGTAAATTATATATATATATATGTGTGTGTGTGTGTGTGTGTGTGTGTGTGTGTGTGTGTGTGTTTGTGTGTGTGTACTTTTTTGTTTGTGTGTGTGCGTGTGTATAATATATTTTATTATAAACTAGCAGAGGAGCCCGGCGTTGCCCGGATATATAACAGTAAGAGATAGATCAAGTATCGACCATCATAAAGACTGAAAAATAAAATTGACAAAGATTATTGTTTAAGGTTATCGGACACGCATGTCTGAATTATTTTTTTTTTACGAATTGGTCAAACCCAAACTCAAACAAAAACATAGAATTTTATTATAAACAATTGTCTTGTAAATGGAATTTTTAAAACATTCTGAATGTAAAAATAAAGAAAAAAGTGTGCAAGCTAATAAGAAACACAACATTTTGTTTAAAAAGTTTTGTTGAAATCGTTTGAAAAATGTAGGTAGCCTTTCTGTAATCTTTTAGTTTTACAATTTTTGATTTTTACTTATTGAATACAATTAAAAAAATGCATATTTTGCTTGTGGTGATTCATAATTAGAATTCTGATTTGAATATATTTTCCAATCGTTGTTTCTAATACAAAAAATATTAAATTTATTTGGGTTTATTAATTATGATCTAACAAATCTTATCCATTTAGTAGCCTTTCTGTAATAATAATCTTTTACAATTTATGATTTTTACTTATTGAATACAGTAAAATAATTGGACACTGTGTGTATTTAAAGTAGTTTCCGGTTATTATTTTTAGTTAGGACTTGTGTATGTTTAGATTTCATTATCTTTCCCTAAAGATAAAGAATTTATCCGATGTTTGTATTCGTACAATCAGTAGAGATCGTTAGATTATTGTTTAAGGTTGACGGACACGCATGTCTTAATTAGTTTTTTTTTTACGAATTGGTCAAACCCAAACTCAAACAAAAACAATGTTTTCAATCGTTATGAGTCTCCCGATTGAATAGAATTTTATTATAAATAATTGTCTTGTAAATGGAATTTTTAAAGCATTCTGAATATTAAAAATAGAGAAAATGTGTGCAAGGGAATAAGAAACACTACCTGCCAAAAAAAAAAAATAAAGAAGTGAAGTTTTGTTTTATCGGCTGAAAAATATAGGAAATCCGATTGCATATTTAAAGGAAGCCACACACACAAACAACCCGATGTGAGTTGTCCCCCTTCCATTTTCACGATGTCTCTTAATCGTGATTTCAAATTGATTTTGTGCAAAAACATTTATATTTTTCCCATTTTTGGCGCTGTTAGAACCACCACAAATTAATTTTATGTAGTCCTTTGAAGTTTTGTTGAAGTTCGGTTGAAAAATGTAGGAAATCCGTTCCAATATATAAACGTTACAGACTCACACACACACACGCACACACATAATCTGCGTTTTATAATAAGTAAGATTTCCTGATTTAAAAATATTGTTTTAATATGGTTCAATATGGTTATAAATCTGCTAATTTATAATATTTATGCTCTGTAAATTGAAATTGAGCACTGTTTTGAAAAATAAAATATCAATAAGAACACCGGATTATATATCTTACTGTTCTTTTTTTTTTATAACACACAGAGAGAGAGAGAGAGAGAGAGAGAGAGAGAGATAGACACACACAATGTACATTTACACACACACACACACATTCATATTATATATATATATATATATATAAACACACACACACACAGTTGTATATTTAGGCAGCAATCCTTTCTGCATGTTTCATTAAAAACGACAGACAATGTACTACGGTTAAGCTTTTTATTTAATTTTTCTTCTGTTCTGACAAGAGCTTTCTTTTCTGGACAAAGGGTGTGTAAGAACTGTCCGAATGTTTTATATTTCCGAGCGCTTTTGGCTATACCTTTAGCTATTATCAAGGATGATTCGATTTTCAGTTTAATTGAGTGTGTGCGTTCTGTGTATGTATCAGTGTGTGGTAGGGATGTTTTTAATTTCCGAATACGGTTAGCACATTGTGGATTTGTTCGTAGTTAATATTGTTAAGAGTTGGCTTTTTCTTTTTTATTATTATAATAAAACAGATTTACTAAGTATATAAAAGCATTAAATTATTAAAAAATGCACAAAACAAATTTTAAGAAAAATAACGTTAAAGATCAGCTATAGCCGCGTTAGTAACATCGATAAATCTATATCCCATCATAAAATATGAAGTAAATTTCAAACTAAGCAAACATTATTTTTTTTTATATATGAATGTTACTGCCGAAAAAAATATGATCTCTCCCTTAAATGGTCTATGTGTGATTGATAATAGTGTATTCCGAGTTAGCAAAGATTCCGATAACGATGTCAAATATAATTATTTAATCCATCTAAAATCTTTAGAAACTTCAATTCTACCATCATAGAAAGACTTTAGGCCATATAAAATACAAAAGCAGCACATCTCCCTATAAACATTTCTGTCTATTAAATAATGGTAGTAATACACTTAATATCACGTGGAATATTGGAACAACAGAGAAATCTTGGCAAAGGCATTTATGTCTTGTTGAAAAATGAGTTATCTAAAATCACTTAAATGATCCCAGATTTTTGAATAAGAGAAATGATTTCATTATTACATGTAGGCATAAAAATAAATATCTGCTCAAATATGGCGATCTTGATCAATTTTTCATGTAAATTATATTTAAATGTGAACTCCCGTAATCTCTATCTATAAAAGGCAGATGTGTGTATGTGTGTGTGTGTGTAACGAATTTTCGACGGATTTGTGCCAAATTTTCATGCATATGCTCCAAGTTAGCAGAAAGGCCAAGACAGACTTTGCATTTCCCAACTTCCAACGATAATGGAAATAATCGATTTGTCATGCTTCTACGGCAGTTTTCATGTAGTTTGCGGCCATTTTGTACTGTCCAGAGTGAGAGCCTATAGCTGGCAGCCACGAATAGGCAGGAAGATTCTATTAG